CACAGCTATTGTGGAGTGGTTCTCTCCGGTAAAGTGTTGATGGAGGCTATTCCATGCGGCACATGGAGGTTTTCAGTGGCTATCTGCGAGTCATTCTGTGACAACAAGCTTAAGGTAATGTTTACTTGTGTAAGACTGGGTAGCCCCTGTAATCACCATGATAAATTTGCATGAGATTGCGGAACCTTGAGGTGGAATCTGTTCATTCGCTATTCCGACTATTTGCCTGTCTCTATTATACAAAGCCATGTCATGTGGAACTGCCTGGTTTGCGCTTAAATCAGCAACTATTTTCGCCCTTAAACTTATAGCAAAAACTTTTACTTGCAGTGTCGGATGTACTTGCTTTGTCTTGCAACTCTGTCATCATATATCGCAACGTTAATACTTGATCATAATCATGAAAACAACTGATGCCAATGTCCCTTGGTAAAGTAGTCTTTAACTTTAGCATGGCCAAATTAACACTAAATGTCATGGCTTCTGCTGTGCCTTATCAAGAGATTAGGCGCGATCCACAGTCTAGCCGATTACTTTTGTCAGAAAGAAAGGAGATGGTAGTTGAAGGTAAGACGTCGTTATATGTCAACATATATCGAGAAACCTAAATATCGAACCATCTGATGTATCCAGAATTGTCCTGAGACAAAGTTCATGGAGGCTGTTTAGTAATCTGGACTTAACCCATCCTAGGTCTTACGAAAAGCACTTTCTCTACACTTAAAATTTTTAGACGGTTTTATGGTTATAACTTACTCATGTCACTGACTACGAGGGGAAATAACTCTGTGAGCTAGTGTTAAAGTACAAGGATGCAAATCACGGCATTGTGGCAAGTTAGAAAGAACAAACAAGAGTGGACGTGTTATAGGCACCTGTGAGGCTAGGCCGATCATACTGCTGAAGAGATGCATCCCTCCTGCTTTAACAGAAGAGGTAAGCTGTCTTCTCGAAATGACGACTAAAGACGAGGTCACAAAGACAACAAAATCACCATGGGCCACATGTACCACCCCACTTAAGAAGTACAAAGGCCTTCGCCTGTCAATCGACTTCAGGAAGCTGATGGATGT